AATAAATGCAAATACATCCTTAACTAGAGAAGCACTAATCTTGACCACCAGAAAAAACCCCAAACCAACCCAGCTGGAGGAGACAACTCAGAATGAATTTTACATTACTGATTGTATTTCCATACATACTTAAATTATGAAGGCTCCAAACATTACCAAGATAATAACCTCTTCATCAGCTGCAATAAGAAACACTATCTAGAAGTGTGAAAGAGAATATCCTCTACTGCTACAGCCTCTGGAATAAACTCAGCATCAAAGAAATATTATAAGAGAAAAACATGTGATGCATTTTACATCAAAAATGATGATCTTTTTGTTCACTATTTGAGAGGTTCACTTGGCTTAACCTGACAAAATTTGTATTCATTTCAGTGCCATTATTATTCCAATACCAACAGAGTCTACAAGTAACTTACTTTATGTATAAATATATATATATATATGCAACTCTAACCAATAGGAATAGCATAAGTGCTGATATACTTACTCACTGTCTGTTCCAAATGACAGACTGAAATTAGCACCTTGCATTGCCACTCAGAGGAACAGTGGACTGACAGAGAAGAAAGATTACTCATTCTGTCTGCTCTCTATATCCAAGAGCTACCAAGTCAAAACAGCATGAGACTTAGAAAAGCCAAGCCAAACCTCCATCCTTGGCAACTAAGGCTTCCTTAAATTGTATTTTCATGAATAATTTTTTAAAGCTTTTCAGACATGAAAGCACAAATGTTACAGGCAGATGCAACAGTAAATTCTCCTATCTGCTTATCTTCTTCTAAGTGTGTGAATAGCTACCTTGAGTCAAATTTTTCCCTCATTTTGTGTTTAATTAGCTTCACTGCTTTCACGTCCCCAGCATCTTCTCAGATAGCTCTTTAAAAGAGCAGCTGCAGACTTTATCAAAGCAGCCATTGCTGGGACAGTGCTGATGCAAGGAATGAGCTGGAGAGAGTGAACTGCCCAGGGTCAGGTACAATTTTTCTCCTTAGGAATTATCTCTGTGCCCCTTTTCTACTGTCACTTTACATCTGTGCAACCCCAGGCAGGGTACAATATCTAAGTGTTGCTGTGGTTACTGAGTCCTTCTAACTGAAGAAAAGGAAGGGAAAGAAACTGCTTTTAATAAATGCTCTTTAATTACTTCTCAGGAGATTATCTGCTAAACAACAACAAAAACTTTCTTAAGGAAATAGACAGAGAGCAGACAGGGATAGAAAAGAGACAGGGAGCAGAACTGTGTTGGAGTCAATGATGTTTCCTTAACACCAAAAAATTATGGTTTCCAGAGTAGGAAACCAAAAGTCTCTTGTTTGACTGGAAAGCAAAAAGGGATGGGGGAAGAAGGAGAAGAGTTGCTATTTATCTTCCTGAGCAATGGTTATGCATGATGGGGCTCTGCTTTCCTGGAGATGGCTGAACACCTGAATGCCCACGGGAAGCAGAGAATGAATGCCTTATTTTGCTTTGCCTGTATGTGAAGCTTTTGCTTTACCTACTATGCTGTCTCTATCTCCACCCAAGAGTTTACCCATGTTTACCCTTCTTGTTCTCTCCCCCACTCCTCTCAGGGGGTAATAAGCTGCTTGAGCTGCCTACCAGGGTTAAATCACAACACTCTAGTTTAACTGGGCCCCTTAAAACAGAAAAGGAAAAAGCACCACACTCACATTTCAACTCAGCCAGATCTATTATTTTTAATAAAGCTTGGCATTGAAAGACTATACAACAACCTGGTTTGGGTCTTTTTTACTTACTGTTAGAAGAATGGAAGGAATTCTAAGAATTATAACATCTTCCGACTTACTGAATTGGGGAGTGGGGGCGTTGTGCCACCATGCGTATGTGAGAGTGACAATGTTTATACAAAGCAATTTCTTCAATACAACAGTACTAAGAAAAAATCCTAAATCATGCTGTTTATTTAGAATTGCTTTTATAAAGATTTCTTGTAATGAACTTGCAACTTCACCATGTTACTGCAAAATATAATAGATATCATCAAATATCAGCATTTAGGAATATTGCTATATCTTACTCAGTCTACCAGACTAATCTATCTACAAATATTTTAGTTTCCACTACAGTGCTACCTCCAGCATCCATTCCCCTTACACTGACACACAATTTATCATTTTTCTTAACTCTCCAGAGCCTGATGTGAGTTTTGTTTAAGATTAAAAACTTTGTATATTGACCTAGTTGGTCATTAAAGCTTTGAACAGGCTGTGCATCTGAACTCAAGTCGAAGTGCCTCAGTGAACTCATGTTGAAAAACATAAATGTTACTGCAACCAAATTCAGAGTAATACATCTAGGAAGAAGGGCCATACCCCAAAGTAGGAGATAGTGTTCTTATTGAAAGTGGCTCTTATTGAAAGAGACATGTCAGTTTGCAGGGGATGAGTGGCTCAGCCTGACCTCCTGGTGCAGCATTACCGGAAACAATGCAATCCTTCTCTCCATCGGGTGTTTCCACACCGGTGCAGCAATGTCAGATCTGTCTGACACTGCGTGATCGATGCACACAGGAGCAATGCGCACACTTCATAGACACAAGATCAAAGTCACTGCAGAAGAAAGCTTGCTTTTCTTCCTGAGAGCAAGAAAATAGGGTCTTGCACCACACAGATAGAATGAACAGACAGAATTTCTTAATTAAGAAGACAATTAGCCACAGAATTCTTGCAAAGAGAAAATGCCTGCACTAGAGAGTTCTCTGATCTGGGAGAAAGGCCTAACAGTCAAAAGTGGAAGCCAGAACTGCTTCCAGACTGCTTAGTATACAAATTAAAATCCCATTAGCAATAAGCCACTAGAAAAAACTACCAGATATATGTCAGAAGCTGCGAAACCAGTACTCAAATCAAGATCTACAATTTTCTAGAAATAGCAGTTACTGAACTCAGTTAAAGAAAAAAAAGACTTGTGAAAATGAAAATAACTTTTGACATAAAACCCTGACCACACAACAGAATGGTTCCTCCTATGGCAAAAAATCATGAAAACTGAAGACCTAAAGACACCAGCCTGATGAAGGCTTCCCCTGCATCTTGCATGGCCTTGACTCCATCCAGGTGCACACTGTCCTCCTCTCTCCCCCTCTTCATGTCAGTAATATAGTTTTACCTTAATGCACTACAGTACAGTGGTCCCCTCAGCTATCTCACACAGCATTTGAAGGATAACTGAGAGGAACAGGACACTTCTAAGAGTAGGGCACTGATGCAAATGTGACAAGCTGTTTTCATGAAGTTACCCTTTTCCAAAATCTATGAAAAACCCCGCAATCCGTATATATTACAGGGACAATACACTGTTGATCTTCTGTAAACTACAGTGTAAAGTGACCCCATTTTCAAGCTTTTCACTGCTCTAGAAATGCAACTTCCAAAACTAGATTGCCAAAGTAATTCTCTATTATTTAGAATATAAGAGATTTTAACCTTTATTTTATAACTTTATTTTAACCTTTCCCACTGCAGAGACAAGACCTTTTCTATTCTCTTCTCCAAGCACAAGCACAATGTGTTAAGCACAAAACAAGCTCTGACAGATACCTCGATTCCCATTCAAAATATTCGGTGTATTAGATTAGTAAGTAATTCTTCCGAGATCAAATTAAGTTATGTTTCTCCTCTGAGAAACAGTACTCTCTGATTTGGCAGCAAGTAGCTGCTGCAAATATCTCAAGCCTTCTCAGATGCAAAGTTTTGCTAGAAACACTACAGTAGGAAAAAAATGGGGCAAGGGTAACAGACAGCAAGGCAGAAAAGAGGTTCCCCATTTTGCACTCAAACTACTGCAGTTTTTACTGAGGCAAAACTAACCTATAATCAAAACCTTTGGCTCAGTCTGACATGAAAAACTCACGAAGCATTTAATGAATTCTGTGTTTAGCCTTACATATTAACTGGCTATCAATTAAAAAAAATAAACATTGAGACAGTCACAGTGAGGTTTGGAGTCCTCTGGTGAGAACATGCAATCTCAAAATAACAATCCTGGCATTGTCCAGCTGACTACAAGGAAGCCCAAATCAAACACTCTACAGTCAATGAACAACATTCACTGTCATACAAAAATGTCCCCATGCAGAGTTTTCAAAGGATCCCACTTCATGACAAAGTCCTGTGGTGCAATTAAGAAAACTAATAACTGATATTTAACTGACCTACAAACCAGGTGTGTCCCCCCAGCTGTTACCATAAGTAATGCATTTACTTCCCAACACAGATGACCTTTGCATGCTGCTGTAGGAAAAAAAATGCAGATTTTGTTCTTCCGTTGACCTATGGACTTCAAAATGTTTAACTTCCTACATGTGGGACATGCACCAGTCTGCAGACCATAAAAAACCACTTCTGTTTAAGATAATGTGTCCTCACATATCTAACCTGGAACTAAATATTTGCTGCTTAATGAACTGGTGCACCAGGCAAAAATCTATGAATAGAGGAACAAAAATATTCTTGCAGCAAACTGAAAGTCAGCCTCTTCTCCAACTGATAATGCATGAATTTACTTCATCTTTTTTAGTCCAAGAAACTACTCTTACTCAAATTCTGAGGAAGAAATATATCCATTCACTCTGGCTGCTGATGTATAGTTTCCCTAATTGTATAAGACATCAAAAAAAGAGAGCTCTGGTTCCTTAATAAGGTTAGCATACTAAAAGAAGTAGCTTGAAAATAAAATACATTTGCTAAGAGTGCACTTCCACATACAGAGACTGAAGTAGTCACAGATTTATATCATTGCAGACTGGAAAGAATGAAAATGCTCCATTTCTGAAAGTGTTAAGACTACTAAATTTTCCAGCAGTGACAGTTTCTGACCAGTCACACACATCATTAATATTCAACAAAAACGTTCCCTAATGAAAACACAATTATTTTAATTAGTACTTTCATGAAAGTTCACAAATAAAGTACAGCAAGCAATTACATCAATAAAAGTTTCCATGCCCACAGTGCCCAAAAAACCACAAGACATACCTGATTACTGCTTTTGGCAGCAGAGCTGGTCTGAGCTGTACTTGAAGAAAGGGAATCAAAAAAGGCCTGATCAGCTAATGAGTTGCCACAGCTAATGCCATCCTTTGCACCTTCTGTTATAATCTGAAATGGAAAAGGTTGAGAAAGATTTTTCATGCTTCAATTAACCAAATTATGCTTTATCATGTATAATCATCCTAACACTCATGTCTCTAGACTTTAAGATGTTTGCATATAACCTTTTTAAATTCAAATTCAATTGCATTTTTTAGAAGAAGCTGACAAGATACTCTGGAGGATTTACTTCCACACCAGATGGAACTAGGTTGCCTTACAACTACAACATACAAGACTGTTGTGGCAGTGAACACCTATCTAGAAATTGCTTAGGGAATAAAGGTTGTTAATGCAAGTGCCTGGAGACTGTTAACTCAGTGCTCAGGGGATGGATTTGGGCCAGTACGTTTAGAAAGCCAAAAGCTACCAGACCATGAGCTAACCAACTGAAGCAAAAACACAAGGTCATGTGAGCCAGAGTGATCCTGCTTTCCCTTCCCCTCCTCCCCCTTTTGCTTTTTTTTTTAATAAACACAGCACTGCTGAAGGAAGAGACATGCCTTAAGAGGCTGCAGGAATTACAGCCAAGGTATTCACCCACCTAACCAGCAACCTGCACACACGCAGACACTGGGCCATCCAAGTGTGAATGTGACTGCAGTCTTTGCACTGTGATCCCATTCCACCCCCAAAACAATATCACTGGTCTTTAAACAACAATCAGGACAACACACACTGAAGAGACAACAGAGGGTCTCAGTAAGAAGAAAAGCTGACTAGTCCCTGGATTTGGTAACCCACATCCTGAGCCCCAGAAATGTGGCTCCATTCCAGATTTATAAGCATGTGTCAAGTCTGCCACAGCAACACCAGTGTATATAAGCATTACTCATTTAACTTCCATATTGCTATCTTCAGACAGAAAAAAGCCCCAATTATTGGATTATGAGACCCCAAAACCAAAGCAGATTCAAAACAACTCAGGTTCTGCAGATCAGCTGTATTTACTGTAGACAGTTTCCTCTTGCATTTCTTGGTAAACCACTAAGAAGCTCAGGAGCTTCGGATGGCACGTTCGCACTGGTGTCCAAAAGCCAGCTACAATTGCTACAATGAGACCATATATTCCAAGCTTTCTGTTTGAGCATTTCAGTTTGGTCAGCAAACCAGAGGATGGCCTTTTCAGCAGTTCTGCTTTCTTGGCGCTGAGCAGTGTAGTCACTTACCTCAACATAATCTGTTGGAACAAGTCCTCTCTCGCCTTGGCTGTTTTTTCCTTCTAACCAGCCTCCACCAACATCCTAAAAGAATTAACATAGACATGATTTTGCTAGATGGATCCCACAACATGCTTCAAATAGCTCAGCAGGAAGCACTGTCCTGCTGTCAAATGTCAAATGCTCAGCAGGAAGCACTGTCTTGCTGTCAATGTTCAAAACACAGTTATGACTGTGAAACTGAACAAACTCACTCAAAGCTGCTGAAGCAGCAGATACTCATTTAAACATAATGCAGATCATGCTGATTTTACACAACTATTCTGGACTTCAGATTTTAACAAGCATGAAGGGGGAAAAATAATTGATTTTTCAGCACTTTTGATCATTTATGAAACCACAATCAATTGTCTGGCCACAGACTGCATATAAACACAGCTATTAGTATGTCCATTTCAATGAATTAATTTTAATCAACAGACTATAAAGAAACAAGACACAAAGAACAAAACTGTTGGTGATGTCTGTAAAAACTCTTGCCTCATTTATTGAAGGTGCAGAGACATGTGATGAGTGAGAGCTATCACCCACAGAAATGTTAAGGCTATTCTCAAAAATTAAAAAAGCCACATGCCACGTAAGATCTGGACTGATTCTTTCCACTTCACATTTCTTTTCAGAAGCAGTCTTATGCTATTAGTTTAGAAGGAACTAACAACACTTCAGCTCTGATCTCAGTGGGACATCTTGATATTGTTTGGGGTTTTTTAGACACATATTCTGCATACACTACGAAAGCTCTGTAGACATTTGCAGTTAAGTGAAGTTAATTCCAGGACAACATTATCTGGAATAAGTCAGCTCTGTTTTAAATCAACCTGTTTAAGGAACACACAGCTACATGTCAAGCTAGTTCACAGATGAAAATTGGAGATGTATATTCTAGATAGTGATTACTGAATTTTAGATTTTCTTAATTTGCTTTTTAACTGATTTATTTATTTATTCACAATTTTGTTCTTTCACTTCAAAATTTTATATAGTCCTGCACTTTACAGGCACTCCAATAAGGAGAAGCCTGCTTATGTATTCAAGATTTTATGCAGTAAAGATCAAGCAGTTAGTGAAATAACAACTTGAATTTATTTTCTCTTACATACCTAAAAGCTTACTATTCAAGAACAGAAAAATAATTAGACATCTCAGATCATAAATTCAACTAGCTTGGTTAAACTGCAAGAGCAATGACATCTTGAGCCAGAAGTCATATTTGCACTGCTACACTTGAAAGCAATCATCATTGGACTTGCATGACTTCAGCTATTGCTATCTAAACTTATCATATAAAAAAAAAACAAGAGCCTTTGGGGCAATTTATCATGAACACATAAAACAAAGTTTTACTTGGTTTTGTGTGTACTGCCTTAAGCCACAGATGCCTTGGTCAGTGAGAACTAGCTTAAAAGTGGTGATCTACTTATATTTAGTCTTACTTTTGTGAAATGGCATTAAGGTCCTGAAGTCATTCAAAATGTTACCCCTGCCATAGAATGGCACACTATCCAAGGGGGTGCTGGCTCTGTTAAATATCTGCTTCAAGTATCTAAGAACAGTAGAACTAAAAATTATCAGCATTACACATGACTAGGATCTTCAAAGAATGGAGTTTATTCTGCAGAATGTGTGTGTTTTACACAAATGGATAAATAAGACCCGGCTTCATGATCAGGTAGTTTTTGTTTGTATTTGTTTCAAAAGGCAAGCCTATTCACTAAGCTGTATCATTACACAAAATTCAAAGCAGAATCAACTAATACTTTGTCAACAAGGATAATTACATATGACAATTAAAGTACACTGAAATTCAAAATGTGGACATAAATCAAATGTCAGTGCTAAAAAGCCTATTCATTTAACAACGCCCTGATAGCGTTGTGATAGTATTGTCACCACTTCTTTCCTATGCCTTGTTCATATTTCTTTCAAGGACACAAAATTTCAGTAAAAAATTTTTGTTGTGAGTTGTTTACCAAACTTGGAATGCTGAAGTCATTGATTAAGAAACTCAAAACTGAGAAGTGAACTGGATGTCCCATTTAAATGCAAGTGGCAAGCACATGAAAGATTACATACACACAAAATGTGCAATATTAGGCACACAAAAATAGACAAGGCATTCAGATGTACAAGCTATCACCACCATTAGTTCCTTCCTTTTACTTGTCTCTCAGCTCTGTTTAGAGGAAAACAAAGCTGAGTACATTCTTATGTATGTGGGCACAGTTTGAGAAGGCCCCATCTTCCAAAACAGTGCATTTGTTTCCACAAGACTATTAGAAAATTCTTTGTATTCTGCTTTTTTTTTCCCTAATTCTTCAGGGAAGGGTAGCCAGGCCTTTCAGATATCACCAGCACCATTTTCCTTCCATCTGCTGATAGAAGTAGGCCAGGAAAGTGCACTGAAGCAAATTCCATCTCAGTTTTCTTACCGGGTTGGTGATTGTGATGATCTCCCCTTCACTGACCGTCAGCTCATTGTTTCCAGGCTCAGCAGCAAAATCATACATAACACGAGCCTGTGTGTGGGAAAGAACATAACAGTGAGGCTTCCAGCTTCTGTGGAAGGTTTCATTAAGAAAGCATCAGCACAAATTATCCTTAACTTACAGAAATAGCCAGTGGGGGAAGGCTGAATGTACAAAGAGCAACTCAGCACATAGGAAGCTGACATTTCCTAGATTTGAACTGCACACTCAACAGTAACAACAACTTCAAAAGATAAAAATCTCATGTGGAGCTTGTTGGAGATAATCTACCACAAGGATTAAGACTGGTTGTCTTCGGTCATGTCCAGAACTACATGTACAATGTTTTCCAGGGAAGAAGGAAAGGTTCCTAACTTTAGCAAACAACTCTTCTTTTTTTTTTGTTTTATACAAGACATATTCCAACTTCAATTTGGGTAAAGGGAAGTAGTTCACAGAGCAAGCAATTCAGAAAAAGAAAAGCAAGTAACTGCAGATGTAAGTAACCACTGCTGTGCATAAAATGTAATATGTAAAATTATGTTTTGAGACTCTATATGGGAAGAATTATGCAAATGCAGAAACAAGCAGTGAGACTAGACTTGTTATACCTGGCATGAGGAGGGAGGGAGAAACAAAACAAATCTAATTTTTAAGTATTTAGATACACAAAGGCTTTGCTGTGCACTGACTCTGCTATTACACTACATAAAGAAATGTTTGAAACATTTGGTTTTACTAATAACATCATTCAGTGTACAGCAATGAGTTCCTTCTTGTACTTGGAGGGCGAGGAGAAGAAAAAAAAACTAACCAAAAAGTAGTATTTTCAAAGTATATTCAAAATATTATTTTATTGTCAAAGGAGACAATAAAACAATTTCTGTTGAAAGAAAGCTATGTGATAGGAAAAAAACCCACTGAAAGACAGACATTTACCATCAGGTCTTGCCTGTCTCAAAACTGCAGGTTTTATAATCCTCAAAACTAAGGATTATAAAATCCTCACCCAGACACAACTTCTTACAGAAAACCAGAGGAAAATAGAACTTTGCACCCCCACATTTTAATTTCATGAGTGTCATGTGGAAATACTTCTGGCCGGTCAAAAGATACTTTACTTCAGTGTAAATAAAAACAGAGCTGAGAAAAACCAGACATGTTTCAGCTGTTCAGCTGGCAAATCTAACCCTAAACCATGTGCACAACAAATGGAACACTTGGTCTTCTCCAAGAGAAGCTGCTCTCCAGCACTAGAGCAGCACAACATTGCAGAAAACCATGCATCCTAAGCACTCTGAATGCTCCCTTGCATGAAAACTTTTCCCTTAGAATGGAGGCTTCCAGCACTTTCAGATTATGCCATGCAAAACAGAGATGAAGAGGTAAAAACTGTGTTCAATAATAACACTGACTGCTTTCTTTCCAGCAGCACATCTGGCCTCCATGGAAATATAAGAATAAGCTGCTTTACTCTCCTGAAAAATGAACTGAAGAGAAGCAGCACACCTCTAGAAATACAAGAACGTTTTAAGGGGGGTGTAAAAAGCACCACTCTCCAGAGCTCTTCCCTCAGCAGCAGCAGATGGAGGTGTTGAACATGTCCTTTTTCCAGCAGGTTGCAACATTTATCCACTTTCTGGAAGTCCATTTAACAGCAATCAGATGCTGGGCATCTGAATAATGAGAAAAGCAGGGAGTCTTTCTTTACCAGGGAGTCTTCTTAGCCTTTTTCAAGTAATACACCATAATATTAAATTCTTGCCTCTATGCACAGGAATGATGAGAGTTTACCAGAAAAAAAGGCAACAGACAAATTTTATCAGCCTTCAGAAAAACTGGCAAAACATCCCCAGACCAGATTGGAAAGGTAAAAAGTATTTCTTCTAATAAAAGAACAGATGCAAATACTAGATTCTCCAGATACAGCAGTGAAATTAAAGTTACTCAGAAAAATAAATTGAAGTATTCAGCTTGTAGAGAAAGAAAAAACAAAAAATACATAGAATTTATTAAAGTCATTATGCCAAAGTCCACTTATTGACTTGCTCTGGATGCCTGTTTCAAAAGTCAGAAAAAGTAGAAAACAGGGAAAAAATTACAAACAAACCTTGCTAACTACAGTTTAAGAAATTGAAAAACAAATTTAAAAAAACCAACCCATTTGCAATGCTACAGAAATGGATTATACAGAGCACTAAGAATTTGAGGAACATCTGAAACCTGGTCTGTATATTGACATTTCAAATACATTCCTCATCTTTTTCTGCCAGTACTCTCCAGTACACCTGTATTTCTAGGCTCACTTGCCTAGGCTGGAAATGAAGACCTTAAGAATTTCTGGCAAGTAAGCTTTAACACTATCCTTCCACTGCTGAGTTTATAAACTCAACCAATTCCAAAGTAAAACTAAGTGACTAAATGTTTTTGCCCCAACTATTAAGTGTATAGTTAACAATGGAAAACCCCCTAGGCTTTTCCTGGACAGATACATCAGTCCCAAATCTACTTAAATTTCTGACAATCAGTTCCAAAATACTATAAAATAGAAAATGGTTTGACTTTCCAATAAGCTTTTTCCTTCTTACCAGCCTTCTTACTTTGCGTTTGCAACTCATACAAAATTGCAAATGGGCATGGAAAAAAAAGCATTTAACAAGAAAAAAATTTTAGCTCCTTGGCACTGCAGTACACACACTGAATATTAGAGCTAAGCTTAGGGACACTTTAAATATTCATGAAATGGGAATCTCTGATGAATTCCAGATCATAATCTGGATCAATCCAGATTAATGAACACCACGAAGATAACTTCTTCAAAACACAGCTTAGAAAAAATGTTACAGTAACTGTTGTGTTTCATATTTACTTCTGATCATATACAAAAGGATCAAACCATTCAAGAACTACAGGAACTTCAGAAATTAAAATACTTTTTAGTGGAAAAAAGTATTCCACTAAATACTGCTTCATTTACAGAATCCTGCCAACATGTAAAACAAGAAAGAACCATTAGCAAATCTATTAGCTATAAGAAAATTAATTTCATCTATTAGTTGCATGTATATCTCCCCTCTCCCACCACCACCTCTGCTCCAAGATACAAATGGTTCTGGATTCTGAAGTTGTTTTGTCAGTTCCTTTGAGAAAAAAAGCCCTGCTAATGCAAAAAGCTTTAACTGATTTCACTGACCAGAGAGCAGGCCTGGGTCTTGTACTGTAAACTACTGCTCCCTTTGCTCAGGTAGCAACAGAGCATCTCCACTGGGAGCTTGGAACACATCCTGGCATCACCTCATGCTCCCTGGTGTGAGGGAAGCCTGGCACGGATTAAGCAGAACCCTGCCACAGCACATGGCAAGAGGGAAAGGGTTCCCTGATCCCCAGCATCCCTGCACCTCTGGCAGGGATACACTGCAGTTTCTCCAGAATGAGTGGGAGCCAGCAGTTTTATCTACACATCCAAGCTGGGGGAAACCAGTAAGAGTTAAATGAAAATTAGCTTTTCTGCAGCATGGATATAGAAATTTAGATTGTAATAAAGGAAATAAAAAAGAAACTGGTAATTCTCAATGTTGTATCAGCATTCTTTGGAGCTTGTTCTGCCTGCTGTAGTTACACAACTGGACTCTAGTTTCCCAATTTACAGATTTACTGACTTACTACAGTGTGAAGCCTCCCAAAACTGAGCATTGCAATCAATAATTATTATTGTCTTTTTAGAATTATGATACAATCATACCTAGAAATATTAAAACACCAAAGATTCCCCATATTGAAAAGCAGTATCTAGATTAGTGAAATATTATTCCTCTTCAGGCATGAAGCAGACTTCACCTTCCTCCACTACTTCTGTCCGAGTTGAGTGCTTCCCTGTTCTTCCCATAATACTAAAAACCAAAAGGAAAAAAACCCAACAACAAAAAACCAAGCATTTGCCAGCTTATTTCTGAAAGCAAACATAAGATTATGCAAATCTACCTGTCAGTGTTAAGGCTCTTTAGCATAAATGAAGTGGGAAGGAAGTTGTCTAGCAAAAGTCATTAAAATCAATTTCCAATGAAAGGTTACACTAGTGCTTCACTAAGTTACTAGATGAATATCCAAGATCTCTACAGACATCCTGATCCACTGGCTCCTGCTGGATGCCCCCCAGAATCTTAAAAGAGGTGATAAAGCAACAGAAACACCTATTCCTCATGAGAAGAACCTTTCTGCCTTTTCCCAGATATTTCACTCAAGGCTAGGCTCAGATGGAAAAGCACCTCACCCCAAAATTGAACTATCCTGATGTGCACAGGGCCACCCTTGCCTGCACTACAGTTCAGCTGCAGCAGGGTAGCTCTGTCATGGAGAAGGACAGTGGAAGCCCCTGTGTATTCCTCAGCAGCCATAAGCAGACAGGCTGACAGCCAATGCACCTCAGTTGTGCTCAGAGCTGCTTTTACAACACCTTCCCTGCCTCAGCCTTCCTTGAGATGAATGATCAACGACCCACATAGAATCACTACTGGTTTTTCTTTAAGTTCACCCTTCTGAAGCAAAATGTTTTTGTAATGTTGGATTTCCTGACTGCAATGCAACAGTTCTGCATCAAAGTATGCTTTATAGCACAAAAATTGGAGAAGCCTCTAAAAAATTGGACATGCCTTTGAAAATGCTTTCCCTACACACAGGACTTCATTTGTATTAAAAAGAGATCTAGTGTTACACCACAGATTCATCTGTTTCAACCATGTGTTACAATTTAGGAAACTTGTACCACAACTGCTTTTCTCGGTCAGCTGGCAGTGGCAGATAGGACAAAGGAAATATCCATAGAAATTTCATAGCATGAAATTCCCATAACTGCACACATTTCTCTTCACAGTTGGCACTTCAGCAGCTCAGAGCTTCAGCCACCCTGCACTGCTCTTGTCAAGAGACAGGGATTCACAGGTTTAAATTGTCTGGTGCCACTGCCAGAAATACAACTGCTGGATCACAGCAGCAAGATGGCAACACCTCATGCTGGTGGCAGCAGTTCCCATACTGACAGAAAGAGGATCAAATTCTGGATTTCTCTTTTGGGAAGTATACGAGGCAGATAAG